TTTCTTGAAGTATCGTTGTCTCTGAATGAATTTCAAAACAAGTTCATCAGCGATCACTGAACAAGCTCAGTGTATGATCGCTGGAACTGAAATTACAGATACATAAATACATCGAAAGGAAAAAGGGATTATCAACAAATCAATGAGAGAGAGGATCAACAGAGACTCGTGCCGAAGCCTAAAGACAAATCCATTATCGGTACAAAAATGGGTCTTCCGGAACAAGAAAGACAAAACGGGAATTGTTGTCAGAAACAGAGCTCGACTAGTTGCAAAAGGGTATTGTCAGCAAGAAGTAATAGACTATGATGAGACCTTTGCTCTAGTTGCACGCATTGAAGCTATCAGAATATTCTTAGCTTATGTTGCTCATAAGAACTTCAAAATATACCAAATGAACGTCAAGTCTGCGTTTTTGAATGGTATTCTTCATGAAGAAGTCTACTTGAGTCAGCCGGAAGGCTTTATAGATTTTGATAAGCCAGATCATGTCTATGTCCAATATAAGGCGCTTTATGTTTTAAAACAAGCACCTAGGGCATGATATGACACATTAACCCAATTCCTATTAAATTATGGTTTCAAAAAGGTACGATCGACACTACGTTGTTTCTTAAAAAGCAAGGTAAGCATCTAATTTTGATACAAATATATGTTGATAACATCATTTTTGGTTTTACAAATCCAAATTTTTGCAAGAACTTTTCAGACATAATGCAGTCTAAATTTCAAATGAGTATGATGGGTGAGTTAAAAAAAAATTTAATTGGTTTTCAAGTAAAACAACTCCATGAAGGCATATTCATTAATCAATCAAATTATGTCAAAGGCATTTTGAAAAAGTTTAAAATGTCTGAATGTTCTTCGATAAAGACTCCCTTGGCATCTGGAACATTATTAAATGTAGATTTATTCGAAAAATCTGTAGATCAACAACTACCGTGCCATGATTGGATCTTTATTGTACTTAACGTCAAGTAGACCAGATATAGTGTTTGCAACGTGTTTTGTGCAAGATATCAAAAGAGTCACACCTTGCAGCGGTTAAAAGAATCTTAAGATATCTCAAAGGCACACCAAATTTGGGTCTTTGGTATCCTAAAGATTATGGTTTTGAACTAACTGCTTTCACAGATTCTGACCATGCGAGTTGTACGCTGGACAGAAAGAGCACATCTGGATCATGTCAGTTCTTAGGTGACAAGTTAGTCAGTTGGACTTCTAAGAAGCAGAATTGTGTTTCATTTTTCTTAGGTGAACGTATTGAAAACAATTCTTCATTGATAAATACTTCATTTTTCTTGAAATGCTTAATATATAAATTTGTTCTTACAGATCTTCCTTCATTTCTCTCCATACAATTTGAAATATGAATAATTCATTGAATTTCATTGTGTGCTAAATTGCCATATATTTCTGATCAAACTTTTATGATCAATTGAGCTTACAATGCAAAAATTCTTAGGTTGGAATCGAATGCTTATCAGATAAACCTCTATGGACTATCAGATAAACCTCTATGGACTATCAGAACCGATAACCCTACCCAAGAGGACAACCAAACTAAGTGAGCCAAATTGAAATATGGGTTTCTGTATTGAGCTGAAAATGTAAATAAGAGGATAGTTGATGTGAGCTTAAAAAGAATTGAATGAGAGTTGTGTACATGATTAAAAGAATATCAGAATCCTGATCCATCCATTATAATCCGGGCAAACACATAATTTATTAGTTCTCACTTCTTTCAAGACTAATATTGGAAAAGGCAAAGTCCATGCCAATTCTTGTTTACAACCCCACTAACTATTTATTTATCTCTCAAAAATAAGTGTTTTATTAACACTTGGGGCATGCAACTCATAATCTAACGGTTTCTCATTTGAAGTTAAATGATATTGAAAAAGAAAGATATATGTCCCCTTTTCAAGTCTTTTTGTTAGTTAGCATTTTGAGAGATATCATCAAGAACATCTTGTAAATATTTGAATATCAATATACATGCCGACATATTCAATTCATTCAATGTTCTTGAGCTTAATTGATAATATACAACTCATTTCTTTAAATGGTATTCACTTGAACTTACCTGTTTACATTAAACACAAAGTAATATTCGATATATTTTGATCGGAAGCTTTTCTACGTATTTTATATTTTTAACACGCTTTTAAATATCATATTACAAGCTTCTAAATTTGAAATTCATTGCATTAGATAACTTTGTTGGTACTAAGAAATGATTTGTCCAATCAGATGTAATGCAACCAATATATTGATGTTGTTCGTCATCACTATCTTCCAATAACATACTCTATAAAGGGATTTTTTGTGATTAACACCTATTTAATCTTGTGTGTTCTTAAAAAAACCATCAAAATGATGTCGTTTTATTATACATTCGACACAAACTTTTTTCCTCTAATAAACAATTAAACATTACATTATTATATTAAAATAAACCAAGTTTCCCAAAACATGCTACTGAGCATAATTTTTAGATCCAAAATACTTGGCATTGAAAACACAACACACCCACGTTACCCCCATTTATTTATAACTCCTCATTTATATTCTCCTTGATAACATAAAAGCATATTGGACACCTTTTCCTATAAATACTTGCATAGTTAAGAATAAAAAAATACCATAAAATGATCACTTAATATCATATGTTGTTTAGGAATTAGGATTCTACTTCCCAAAAATAGACTTAAATATTTTATTTATTTTCGAAAAAAAATCTCAAATAATCGATTCAATTTTCATACTCTGTTACTCTCTTACGTGTTTATATTACTGTTTTATTTTGCTTATAAGTATTTATTTTAACGGTTTATGTTTTTTTTAAAATTTGTTTTAGAGGAAAGACATTGTACAATATTGAATAATTTCCATGATTTATTCTAGAAATTAATATGTTTAAATATTTTGTTAGAAACTTTTTGGTATTAAATATACAAAATATTTTAATAACATAATAATTATTAAAAAAATTCAAATGAATAAATTATTGAAATTGAATATAGTTTTTTTTAGAAATTTTAATATTTTTTTTTTGTTTTAAAGAAACTAAAAAAAAAATTAGAGATATTTTAATGCTACTCTTAACAATTCAGTTAAATAAATTACCACCATCACTAATTAATTAGACTTTAATGCACTTTAATGAATTTCTAGTTAAAGTTATTACGGATATTAAATACTCATATTAAAGATTATTAAATTTTTGGTTCAATCTTTTTAAAAGAATTGTATAAATTGGTAATCCTAAAAAGTTTATAATGTATTTTTTTTATCTTAAAAAAAGTGTTTACAATAAAGATTAGGTACAATTTTAGTAATGAACTAAATAATAGTTTATTCTTAATAATAGAAGAAGTAGTTGGTTTTTATATTTGATTTGGTCTCATCGAAATAATTTATTTAGTTTTCAAGGAGAAAAAATAACGGTCGGATATGTTGTTTGAATTTCAATTGAGAAGTTTCAAATGGATTGCTAGAAGAGTCCATAATAGTAAGGGGTTATTTGTTTACCTCTTAATAGTTCCATTAAAAGATAACCTCTAAATCATTAAGAGGTGAATCTTGTTTGACAAAAAAAAATTTGTCTCTTAATGGTTTTGAAACCCTCTGAATGATTTTGTATCATGGATCTTCTTTAACCATTAAGAGCCCTAATTTCATTGTACACAATTGCCAAACAATTATATTTCATTTTGCACTATATAATGAGGGTCTCTTAATCATTCTGCACAAAACCATTCAGCAATTGTCAAACAGCCCCTAAGTTAGATTGGGTTTCATGGATCTCTTCTCCAAATGCTCGGTCATACTAAAGTTGCTCTTTTTCAGTTTGACAGATTTGAGTGTGTTTGAAGGTTCTATGGAATACCCTCATTTCTCTTAGGGGGAGGGGTTAAAGGTTTCTTTGTATGTTGTAAGTGATTTTTGCAAGTTTGCACCTTTGCAAATTCTGTAATCTTTGGTTGCTAGTTTTTTGTTCTTGTAGCTTGTATCATTGGTTTAATGGTAATTGTTCTGGTTGGTTGCTTTTAAAAAAAAAAAAAAAAAATAGTTTCTTTCTCATATTTAAAAGAAGAATGAGAAAATATGGACCAATTTTTTTTTTAGTGCACGTTTGTTTTAAGACAAACTAAAATATAAATATGGATATTTATTTTGAGACATAGCATATATTTTCTAACTGTATATACTAATTTAGAAGACATGAATATGCACAATAAATATAATAAATTTGATGTTTCCAACATAAATCGACAAGATTTAATCAAATAACAATCGTTTGTCTATAAAATTAACTTCAAAATTAAGTTGCACAAATAATGCAACGTTTAATTTACACATGCTTCAACAAAATATTTGAAAAGACGGTTTTATTTTTGCATAAAAATGGTTTCAGTTTTTGTTTTTAAATATTTAAATGTCGTTTAAGCGATTAAATTGACGTGCATGAGCAGTTGAGCACGGACTGAATCAAAATGGATGTGATTTACAAGTAGTGGTTTCCATATCTGTACACACATGGTCAGGACTCATCACGTTCAGCAGCAAACAGAGAGAGAACTCATATTTTTTATTTGATGTATATAAATAAAAAATATACCATCCCAGATCGATAACATCCTTCATAAATTTAAGAGCCAACAAGATTCGATTTTGTAATATTTACCCAATTGAGTCTGTGTTTTTTCCCACCGTTCATGGCGGCAGATCTCATTTTCCGGTAAACACTTCACTTGCAATCTCATTTTCTCTTTATCGATTCTTGGTTTTAATTTCTTTTTTTTTTAATTTTTGTTAACCCCAAGTTTAACTATTCACTTCTGATTCCTTATTTCATACATTTGTTTTCTTGTAATGATTCTTGAGATTGTTCATATGGGGTTCCTCTGTTTTTTCAGGTTGCTTTCTTGCTGTTGAATCTTGACAACTTCATCCAAGAATTGAGAATTTGAACAAATTTCTTTCAATTAAGAGCTTGAAATTTAATGAGTGGTCGGTCTTGTAGAAATTTTGTTTAATGCCCAATTAATATCATGCCATCAAAGCCCTTGCCTAGATATCATCAACTTCTTAGGGTTTCAAGAAAGTAATTGGGTTTTGCGTTTCATCATTCTATATTGCTTCTGTTGATAGTATTTCTCATAAAATTAAGCTGTTCTTGTTAATGGGTAATTGTTCTTACCCTTTATAAACAACTTACATTGATCAAATCGAACTGGATTTGAGTTGTAAACCTAGTTTTTACTCTTGAAGAGCCTTCAATTCGTTCTCATCTTTGGACTGTTTGCTGCTGTACACTTTACCCTTTCTCAATGTCTTCAATGCCTGAAAAGCGTGTGTTTTCTTCTCGTTTGCTTTCATGTCTGATTGCCATCTCAATGTTCTTCCTAATTCTTTCCTGTTCACTCATATTTCGAATTGGTGACAGATCTTTAGTACCCAGATCAATTTACAAACTAATTGTTGTTGATAGTGGATCAATTGAACCCAAATCTCACCCTTCTATTCCCTTAAACTCTTGTAAAGAAGCATGTTCTGAATCCATGGCTGTCAAACCGGTGGCCTCCTGTGATCCAAATCAAGCTCTACTCAAAGTCTTTATGTATGATTTACCTCCTGATTTTCACTTTGGGTTATTAGGGTGGAGAGGAGCTCCGAACCAAATATGGCCCAATGTAGGTAACTTCAGTGAAATCCCTAAATACCCAGGTGGATTAAACTTACAACACAGTACAGAATATTGGCTCACACTTGATCTTCTATCATCAGTGACCCCAAATGTGCCTAGATCTTGCACCGCTGTTCTTGTACATAATTCAAGTCGAGCAGATATTTTTTTCGTTCCATTTTTCTCATCTTTGAGTTACAATAGGCATTCTAAGGTTCAGGGGATGGAGAAAAATAGTACTAGCGATATTTTGCAAGAGAGGTTGGTGGAATACTTGAAGGGTAGGGATGAATGGAAAAGATTTGGAGGGAAGGATCATCTGATCATGGCTCACCATCCAAACAGTATGTTGATGGCTAGATGGAAGTTGGGTTCGGCTATGTTGGTGCTTGCAGATTTTGGAAGATACTCTGATGAGATTGCAAATATTGAAAAAGATGTGGTTGCTCCTTACAAACATGTTGTTAGGACTATTGATGCTAACAAGTCTCCTCCTTTTGAAGAGCGACCCACGTTGGTGTATTTCCAGGGAGCAATTTATCGGAAAGATGTGAGTTATTTTCTTCCATCATTCTGTTTTTTTACATATCTTTCTAATGTTTTTTCTTTCTTTAGCTCTTGTTATTTGTTTTGCAATGAATTTAAATTAATTATCATCAATTTTCTATGTTTAGAGGTGGTTGGTGTTCTTGTCTCTGCAAGTGTGTGATGAACTTTTGTAAAACTAAGGGAAATTTTATGGAAAGTTATTAAGTTAGAAAACTTGCTCGAATTTTGCAAAAGGTATCTTGTTATTTACTCGGATATATTGGAGATTGAGTGTTTCAAATGAAGATATATCTTTTGAGATGCTTGAATTCACATGCCCAAAATACATATCTAAAGTTTATTCGATACTTTCAAGATGTTGCAGTTATTCTTAACTTAGAATCAATAAGGGAGCAGATTATTTTATCCAAATATTGAAAGAGCGATTTTTAGGTGCACAAGATCAAACACCAGATCAAAAATGCATTATTGAATATGGATATTGCATATAAGATAGTTTGAGATTACGTTGATATGCAGTTTCCTGTTTATTGTTTCTTTATCTCTTAACAATCACTCATATCCAAACTATTATGTTTTGTGTAACTGTGAGCAGGGTGGAACTATTCGTCAAGAATTATACTACCTAATGAAAGATGAAAAAGATGTGCACTTCACATTTGGAAGTGCCACCGTAGGTGGGATCCGCAAGGCATCCACAGGGATGGCAGCCTCCAAATTCTGCCTCAATATTGCCGGAGACACACCTTCTTCTAATCGTCTCTTTGATGCCATTGTCAGCCATTGCGTTCCTGTTATAATCAGTGATGAAATCGAGCTCCCATATGAAGATGTCCTTGATTACTCCAAATTTTCCATATTTGTCCTTGCTTCAGATGCGTGTAAAGAAGGGTACCTCTTGAATCTTCTCAGAGGAATTGAGAGGGAAAAGTGGACTGAAATGTGGGAAAAATTGAAGGAAGTTGCACCACATTTTGAGTATCAGTATCCCTCGAGGCCTGGTGATGCTGTGGACATGATCTGGCAGGCGGTTTCAAGAAAGGTATCTCCTTTACATTTAAAAGCTCATAGGAAAAACAGATACCATATGTCACAAGAATTCTTGAAAGCTCATTAAGTAGTATGCTTTTTGGCTTGCCCCTTTGGAAGATCAGTATCTTAGCTTCTGAATATAGAGGGATATATATAGGTCACAGTTAGATAGATTTGAACGATATTCATCTATGTAACATATATTTGAAACCATATGAAATCGAGTAATTTGAACCCTTTATGTTGCTCGTATGAAAGAAAGATCTTGCTTTATACATTCACTAGAAGCAAAGCATGTTTGTTTGTGTGTGTGAGCGAAAGATAGAGAGAGAAAAGTTCCATTTTTGATCTGAACGACAATTGAAAACAAAACGAAACTATATCCAGCGAATTTTTTTGATTTGTATCAGCACCTATTGTGGATAGGATCTGATCCTCTTTGAACTCTTCTTTTGTTTGATTGATTTGGATCAAACATTAGTGAAGGCGTTGGTGCTAAACTCCACTGCGTGTTCAGTTCTTCAACTGAGGCACTCCTGTTTCTTGAAAACAGTCTTTCTTCACCCCATTTCAAAGCAAGATCTATGCTTCGAAGTGCAGAAACAGAAATGTTCTCTGAACGAATGGATAGGAACACAACACAAAAGAGGATCATTACCCTGAAACTGGCAATCCCCATTATGTTGAGGATGATAACTGAGAATGATTTTGAGATTGGTCCCTGTTTCTTGTGGAATGTGACTGTTACATACAGATTGAGGGTTTGATGTTCTATGGGATTTGGATGAAATAAAAGCAGAAAGAGGGTCACTTTAGAAGAAGCCACATACACATAGAAACATCAAGAGGGAGTCCTTTCAGAAGAATCTGACTGACTAGTTTGAATTGTTTAGATTTATGAAAGAATGTAAGAAGAGGAGCCGTGGCTGCTAAAAGCTCAAGAGATGCTACAGATGCAAGAAAGCCAAATAAAGAAAAAGCAGAGTCTTGGTATTTTTGTTGCATAATCTGCCTCCTTTATGCTTTTCTTTGTTTGCCCCCAATCTCTAAAATACACAAGCGATTGCCCCCAATACTTCCCATTCCAAGTTCCAAACTTAGAACTAGTTCTTCCTGGTGTGCTAGATTACTTTTTAGTCCTTAAAGAAATCGGAATTTGTTCGATGTATTTTGTGAAATCTAGTCATAACCAAAATCTACAAGCAGATGGATGTTTTCAATTTCAAATTTTTTTAGTCAGTCTGAAAATGATCTCCCTCTGTTAGAATTGGTTGCGAGGTTGACAAATGATGTGAAGAATGTGCATTCAACTAGGCCTTTGTGATCAATGATGGCAAGGACCAAGAACCATGGACTTCAAATGATAAATGATATTGCTTTGAATGTAAACGAGTAAGATTTAGATTCATCTAATTTTAAAAGAATGGTGATTTGACTTCGATAGATGTTTTATTATGATATGATGTGATCAAACTAAATGAATTTGTGATTCAAAACTAATCCATTTCCTATATAAAAAATAGGATTGTGAGTTGAACGACATAGAAACTATCTGTTTTTAAAAGAATTTCCAATCATTTATAACAATTTGAGTAAATTACAGATTTGGTCCTTGTGGTTAATTATATGGAAATCATGTAACGCCCCAACCCATACATTGCATGTAATACATATATTTCGTATCAAAGAAATACATATTCATACTCATCTGGTCCCATAGTACAAGAAACTATCATGACCAAATACAAGGTCCAAAAATTCAAAATACAATCTTGTACTAATCATCTAAACTGTGCATCAAAAGCAATCCTTCAACCAAAATCCATGTAAGAAAAACATTACATCTTTTCCTTTCCCTTACCTTTCACATGTCCTGCAATACATATTTAAAATCACAAAAACGAAGGTTAGACTGAAAAGTCTAGTGAGATGCCCTATTCATGCCATTGCAGGGTGAAGGATCATCAAAACTTTATAGAACATCTATTCATATATATATATATATATATATATATATATATATAATATATGAATACACAAGAAGTTAATATCAAATCATTTTCCACTTTTATGCTAACCACGTAGCTATACAAATTTCATATCTTTAAATCAATCGGGTTCCACACAATGCCACTTTTAAAACCTTTTAATATCAAATAAGGTTTAAATAAAGATTYARRCCWAACCTGACATTCCCTTCTCAATAACATCCAGACTATGATTTCCAATAAGAACCTTGATCTTAAATCTTTAAATCTCAAATAAATAAAGATTCCAAACCACGGTAATCTTAAGGGATATAATAGAAAGAGTTATATAATACCACACACAGACAATGCCACCCTTATATCAAATGTACACCTCTCCTTGATATGCCACATTTATCCTATGGTACACCTCTCCTTCATATGTCACTCTTATATCAAATGGACACCTCTCCTTGATATGTCACCCTTATATCAAATGGACACCTCTCCTTGATATGCCACCCTTATCACTTCATCAAAACATTTATAAAATAATTCCGAATAGACCGCAGTCATTGGAATTGTTC